TCCTTTAAGGTAAACATGCGAACAGAAGCGTCTTGTGGTGAAGATTTGAGCTGTTGTATTAGGCGGCTGATATCCGGATCGCGACGCTGCTCGTCCCCGAGATGAAGCAGCTGGGAGATGGAAAGGACGCGACCCACAGAATCAGTGCTCGTAGGATCGCAGTCGGCCACAGGGTAGCGTGATAGACAATCCACATTTTTGTGCAGTTTTCCTGATTTATACACTACGGTGTAAGAATACTCTTGGAGGCGGAGTGCCCAGCGGGCGAGACGACCAGTGGGATCCTTTGAAGAGGCGAGCCAGCAAAGAGCGTGGTGGTCAGTGAGAACTATAAAAGGTCGGCCGTATAACTAAGGACGAAATTTCGCGACTGCCCACACCAGCGCTAGGCATTCGCGCTCTGTGATGGAATAATTACGCTCCGAGGGGGACAGCAGCCTTCTGGCATAAGCTATCACGCGATTCTACCAACGTTGTCGCTGAGCCAACACAGCGCCTATTCCGTAACCGCTGGCATCGGTGCGGACTTCGGTCGGTGCTGTAGGGTCGAAATGAGCCAGAACAGGAGAGGAAGTGAGCAAAGTGGTCAGGTCGGAGAATGGTGCTGCTTGCGAGGGACCCCAGAAGAACGTTTCATCTGGTTTGAGTAAATCTGTTACGGGCCGAGTGATTTCCGCGAAGTTCTTGATGAATCGCCGAAAGTAGGAGCAGAGCCCCACAAAGCTGCGGACATCTTTGGTGGTTTTTGGCACAGGAAAGTCCTTCACAGCTCGAACTTTTTCTGGGTCAGGCTGTACGCCATAAAGGTCAACAATTTGTGCAAGTATTGTAATGCGGCGGCGACCAAACCAGCATTTGGATGACTTCAGCTAAAGAACGGCGAGACGGAATACATCAATAATTTTGGAGAGTCTCTCAAGGTGCACTTCAAAAGTGGGAGCAAACACAATCAAGTCATCCAGATAACAAAGACACGTAGACCACTTGAATCCATGGAGCAGGGAGTCCATCATTCGTTCAAAGGTGGCGGGGGCATTACATAAGCCGAAAGGCATGACTTTGAATTGGTAGAGGCCATCGGGTGTTACAAAAGCCATCTTCTCTCGGTCCATAGGGTCCACAGCAATCTGCCAATAACCAGAACGAAGATCGATGGAAAAAAGGTAGGCGGCACCATGGAGGCAATCAAGGGCATCATCAATTTGGGGCAGAGGGTATGCGTCTTTCTTGGTGATGTTGCTAAGGTGGCGATAGTCCACACAATATCGCAACGATCCATCCTTCTTTTTAACTAATACCACCGGGGATGCCCAGGGACTGGAGGATGGTTCAATAATGTCCTTCACTAGCATCTTGTTCACCTCTTTCTGAATGATGCTCCGCTCAAAAGCAGACACTCTGTAGGGACGGCGGTGAACAGGGTTGGCATCACCTGTGTGTATGCGATGCTGGACAAAGGACGTCTGCCCTAGAGGTCGGTCGCCAAAATCGAAAATATCCTGGTAGGCCTCGAGAAGATGTTGTAGGGCTTCAACTTGCGGAGGCGGAAGATCAGTGGCAATCATGTCTACAATTTGACGGCTGCCCGAATGTGTTGCGAGTGGTGTGCGCTGCGGTGAAACAAGGGTGTCTAAGGCAAGCACTTCACTTTGTGAATCAAGCAACGGACACAGGTGGGCCACAGAAATGTCTTGTGGAAGCACGATTCAGGTAGCCGAAATTTACAAGCGGTAGACAAGTTCTGTTATCTGTTATGCTGAGCATCGTGTAGGGCACTGCAACATTGTGCGCAAGGAGTACGTCGGTGAGAGGTGTAGCGTAATAGTCGCCGTCGAGCACAGCTGGCGAGCACAGAAATTGATGTACGTCACAGTTTTTGAGGGCAGGTGAACAAAGTCGCTGCATTGTAATCGGCATGTAGGTTGGTACGGGGCATCACTGATTTGTGGCAGTTCAAGGCAGAGCACACCAACGGAGCAATCAATCAGAGCAGAATTGGCAACAAGAAAATCGAGGCCTAGTATGAGGTCGTGGGGACATGTTGCAAGCACGGTAAAAAGGATGACCACTTGATGACCGGCTACGGTAAGTTGAGCTGTGCACATACCGATGACAGGGACTGTTGCGCCATCTGCAACTTGGACGACACTGGTCAAGGGGGGCGTGAGGACCTTCATGCAATGACAAAAATGCGAACTCATAATAGACGTGAGCGCCCGTATCAATCAAAGCTTCAACAGGTGTGCCATCAACATATACTTCAAGTGTGTTCCGGTTGAAACGTAAGGGCAACAGAGGATTTTTGGGTAAGGTCGACAGGGCAGCTTCACCTCCAGAAGCTGCGCAGCCTAGTTTTCCGGGGCATGCAGCGGTTAAACGATGGTGAGGGAGAGCGGCGACACGTATTTGAACGAGAAGGGTAGCTTTGAGACGGCGGTGATGACGGGACAGGGTGGCCGTAGTCCTCAGGGGCACTAAATGCTGTAGACTCAGTGCGGGTCGGAGAACAGTGGCTTGATGGGCGGAATGAGTTACTGTAAGCGGGGTACGAGCCAGAAGGCATAGATGGCCACTTGCTGCGGCAGTAACGAGCGATGTGTCCCACGCGACCACAGCGCAAGCAGATTGGCTTATTATCAGCTGTACGCCATTCAGACGGGTTTCTGGTTTGAATAGAGTACGGACGGCAACGTCTCATGTCCACAGAAGCTATAGAGGGATCAGTATTATCCAGGGTGGGTGCAGTGGACAGGATACCCAGGTTAGCGAATTCCAGGCGGACAACAGCCTAGATCAAGGAGACAGCTGGCGTTGAGGCGTCGGGTAACATCGGTTTGTTGGAATCCGGGTAAGTGGCCTCGAGTTCACGTCGGCAATGCGCGTCACGTCTTCGGTTGTAGACGGATGACAAAGAGTGGCTTCGCAAGACGACGTTGCCGCGGTGTTGGGTAAGCGCTGGAACTGGTGCTAAATGCGTCGACTCTTCGCCTGCACGAGACGGCGACACCACTATTTGATCACGGCGTCGATGGTCGTTACGTTCGTAAATACAAGCAGGCTGAACGCATCGTCGGCGATTCCTTTTAAAACGTGCGAAATATTCTCGGCCTCAGTCATGTTGGGATCGGCCCTTTGACACAACGCTAAGACGTCTTGAATATAAGTCAAGTAGGGCTCAGTGTACGTCTGTGTACGTACGGCCAATTGCTTTCGGGCATCAAGCTGTTGACCAAACGGGTTACCAAAGAGGTCGCGAAGCTGTTGTTTAAACATTTCCCATCTTGTGACTTCGTGCTCATTGGTCTCAAACCAGATGCGAGGAGTCTTGTCAAGATAAAAAATGACATTCGCAAGCATAATGGTTGGGTCCCAGCCATATTGCTTGCTGACACGCTCGTACATACTAAGCCACTTGTCCACATTCGCGTTGTCCTCTCCAGTAAAGGTACCGGGATCACGGGGTTGCGTTAGGGCGACGTACCGGGTTCCTGTCGTTGCCGAGGTAGGTGGCGAAGCCGTATCCTCACCCAGAGCCATGGTAGCAGACTTAAAGAGGCGTCCACTGCGTAGCTCAGTTGTCAAAAGAGCACCCAGCACTTTCACCAAAATGTTACGTGGAAAATAACAGTAGTCAGTCCGCAGCCGCAACGCAGCTTACAAACAACGTCCACTTCTTCACTCTCAGTCTGAGGCACCTTTCTTGGGTATGTCCCACTATGCCCTGTTTCAGTCAGCCGAAATCATGTAACAATATGCTTGCACTTTGGGACGACATCTTTTCCCCACTTGTCCGTTAGATATTGTGGAAGCCCTCAAAAGTATCATCGCAGACTGATCTGATCTCTTCTTTGAGGTAACCTAAGTTATTGCACAGCAAAATACTGGCCTCGAACAAACGATCGGTAACAGGTATCGACTGGAAGTAGAGCGACGAGAGTTTTTGTCACCCAGTTAAAATCAACGGCGGTTGCGCAAGTGAGCTGAAGTAGAGTAGCAAACTGGGCTAGTTGAAATATACTCATCACGATCAGTGGACAAAAAAGCACAAAAACACAAGAACAAAAACACACGAACGACACAATTAAGAGTGGCTTGACAACTGAAAGTTTAGTGAAAGAAACGTACGTGTCAGATGTATCCACACAGGAAGGCCCTTTCTTGTGTTTTTGTGCTTTTGTATGTGCGCTGATTGTGATGAGTATATTTTCAAGTAGCCCAGTTTGCTATTTTACTTCAATAATCATGGACGACTTGCCATCAGCCTATGGCAAATAGATGGCCTTCTGCGAGTAATTTTTTAGTTTCCTCCGCCATTCGTGGAGAAAAAAGAAAGCAATTTTCAGCTGACTTTGATAATTCATAGTGTATGCCAGGCCGCATGCTGCGCTATAATATTGGGCTCGCGTGTTCTCGGGATTCTCTACTATCGATCGGCAGAGTTTTCTGGCCATGCTCAAAAAGTGTTGCAGGGCCCCTTTAACGCATAGGGAAATAGAGTACAGCAAATAAGTTCTGCAGAAATACTCACGGCAGTGCAATAATTAAGAGAAGAAAAATATTATCATAGCCAATGGTGGAAAAAAACTACAAATGAAAGAAAGGTATGCATATGAACTGTTTTCAGGATATAGCATTGTGCATCATACTTACTAAAGCAAGTTCTTGAAATAGCTGATTAAATATTACAATAACTCACTCTAATAAAAAAAAATACTGCATTGTATAACATATCTGTACAATGTTACAAAATGTCGATATATTTCTCAGAAAAGTAACGGTTCAGTATTCATTTTAAAAGGAAATAATATGGTTAATTATGAATACCATTATTCAAGCCTTATCAGTAAAAAGTCGGAAAAAAAACAGGTAAGGACTAATTTTAGTGCAGCTGGCACTTCAGAGTCCTTGCAAACAGCTCACAGCTAGCCCTTCAGCTACAACAGTAGTTATAAAGTGCTCATAGCTACGAAGAGTATTATAACAAAAAAAATGCACATACAAACGGTACATGAATACATACTTTTATTAATATAAACTATACCTGCAGGTTCTAAAAAAATGTGTTTCTCTTTTTGAAGCAACCAATCAATACCCAGCCATGTGCCCCTTCTATACACAAGCCATTTATCCTTCTAATGAGGACTTTGGATTAAGCTGTGATGTACAATGAAGAGTATAATTCAGCAATGTGTCTGCACATTAAAAATACATGCAAAAGTGTGCAAGTGGGATTCTGCAATAAATAGTGAAAATCACATTGCTTCGTATTGAAATGCACAGTATGCTGGAACAACACAGTACACACCCATGCTAAGTTACTGCAGTCAAACCTAGATACATCGAACTCAAGTGGATTGCAAAGTAATTTGATACAGAGATAACTTGAATTACAAAATGCCTTCCTTTAGTGAAGAAGATTTTAGGCCACTATTCTTCAATAGACTTAAGCCGATCATTTCATAAAGCGTCTTTAATAGTGAAATGTGGGAATTCACCACTTAGTTTCTATACGACTATACTGAAGATATAAAGGTTTAATCATTTTTATCCACATCTTCTTTCAAAGCATGCATATTGGACCATTGGCATCCTTGAAAGAAGGTAGTGGCTTCACTAAACGGCAGTTACCACTTTCCACCAACTTTACCACACTGTGTGGCTGCATTGCAGTGAATCTTATTTTTGCAAAATCATTTATATGAAGTGCACATAAAATGCTTCTGCACGAGTCATCCATACCTTTAAGATATGCATCTTGTTCATTTTAACTTCACGACTTCTACTACCCTTCAGATTCAATGCCCTGTTTCCCCACATCTGCCGAAAACAGTGCCGTTCTGTCAGCCTATTTCCAATTGATGTTTACAAAAACTGGTTACTAGTTCTATAAACATCATTTGTGATTACAAAAAAAGATGTTTGTCTTAGGAGTACACCTTCATGAGAAAAGTGTGTGACTTAGCAAGTGTGCCGATAAATGGTAGTTTGACATATGCATATGGTGTGGCCTTTCCAAGAAGGTGTTATGACTGTTTAATTTATAGAGTAATACAATATATCCAGGTGCAACTCAATTAATACTTGTGTGGGAAAACAAGGTCTATACATGCACACAGCACTGGTACCCATCTCTTGTTTCTTTCCCTGGCTTCTGGTTCTTCCTCCCCAATAATGAACCAACTTGCTTAAGAAAACATTCTCTTTAGTTATACTTAAGGTTCAGTACAGAGGCCACTTTATCACAATGCAGCTTGCAACCAGTGCTCATGCTGGCACAAAATGTTTTGAGATAAAAAATACGTGTGCAAGCATCCTATGACGATAATTCACAGCATAAAAACTGTAGTCTCTCTGGCATGGCAGTTATATGTAGTGACATAACTTTAGCGATATGAATCGGCAAATAAATCAAAAGCAAAATCAGATGCACACACTCATGACTTCACTAGCAGTCTCTTATGCCGCTTCATGTTTTTCCCATTGCTACCAAGCACAACCATCACATGATAAAAAATACTAAAGAGAAGAGAGTTTAAGCATGTCTGTAAACATGTCACCATCTCTGTATTTCTGGTGTAAGTTAAGCATTAACAGAAATAGTAACCACATCTTGTGATGGTTTTTAAATTTAGAATGCAGTAGAAAAATTTTGATGTCATTTGGCCATCCTCGAAAAAAAAATCGTAAAAAGTCACAGCTTCCCCACAAGGGCGAAGCAATGAATACAATAGCAACAAATTGGAATGCTATACCAAGTGAGGCCAGAAGATAACAGCCTAATTAAGCACCCCACCTGGTGTAAATCAACAAAACAGATGTAGGAAAAATACAACCGCTGCAGCGAGGTAAGCAACCTTCATGCTGCCGCTTCAATGCCAAATGAGCAGCAAGAACACAGCATGTGCAATTGTAAGAGGCATCTGCTAATCCCTGTCAAGATAGGGCGTCTGTGACCATGCCCCGCCAATCAAAGCGTTCAGTATGTGCCGGAGTCATGCAGCCTCTCTCCCAAAACTCCCATAGGTCTCGCGCATGACAGGCGGCTGCGGGTGAATTTCACCTCAACTTGAGCCATGATTGTCGGCTGCTCTTGCACATCGAACATATGACCGTGTCGGGTATTGCATTTGGACTTCATACGAAATCTCCAGTGATGCCGACAAAAATGGACCTGGTGTGTCCATGTTGCTGTAGCAACAAAAAATTGCATGATGGTAATTATTCCCCAGCCAATTCTTCTCAATACAGTTGAAGTACTATTTTATCTTTGCAATGTTAACTTGGTCTGCTCTTTTGTTACATTGTGTATGTATTACAAGGTGTTGCTAGCAGCAGCGTGTTGCTAGGGCGCAATGGTATCGAAGCACCTTGGATGTCGCCATACACCTTTTCACTAAGCTGATAATACACAACAATAATACTAATATGTGGAATTTTATGTCCCAGAACAACAATCTAATATGAGAGACGCCATAGTGGAGGGCTCCAGAAGTGTCAACCACCTGGTGTTCTTCAACAAGCACTCACATTGCACAATACATGGGCCTCGCATTTCGTCTATATTGAAATGCAACTACCACAGCTCGTATCAAACTTGCAACCTTCGGGTCAGCAGCTGAGCACAATAACCACTGCTCCATCGTAACGGATCCACGACAGCTTACAGCATATTTGCAGACAGGTTAAAACTCTCTACTGCTGATATTGTGTGAAGTACAACAAAACACAGCGAGCAATCATGCGCACATTGTTGCTTCTTTCACAAGATCTGTACTACACAGGGAGAATGCTGCTGGGGCAACCGTCACATATGACACATATGGTCACTACATGTGTGACCATATGTGTGAAAACACGAAATAGTACCAGAAACAGACGAACTCAGCATATGTAAACGAACCGATAAAAGAAGTTTTTAAATCGTGAGTGTTCTTTATTGTGATGAAAGGACTAGGAAGAGATTTTAAACTTCTTCAATACGCAACCAGCACTGATACAGCAATTTGAGCACCCTAGAAGACTGAAGGCATATCATGGGGATGCCATGCAAATAGTACAATACATACATAGCAAAGGATGACATTACAGCCAAGATTTGTTTTCAACAAAAGCTAATTCAACATTACAAGGCTCATTTGGGCTCTTAAAGGCGGCAGAAGAGGCCTACACTTCAGAGATAACCTTGTAGGAAAAGTTGGGTCAATTTTTCTTTAAAAGAAACTTTGGCCGGAGATTCGTCTTTTACTGGGTACTACATCAACCAGACAGAAAAATTTTTTTTCTCCAACACTAGAGCTGTTATGTCATTGTGCTGCTGTAGGCATGTACAAAGTTTTGGCATAGGTTTCCTAAACACTGATAAGCAGCATCTGGGTAACTATTCATGATTACTGAAATTTTTATGGAGCCTACACTGTAGCTTTTATTGTGTGGCGATGACAGCAGTTTATCAAAGCTTCAATTAGGGCTAGTTAGTATGGCATTGTAATGTAGTTGTGCTAAGCGAAATGCAGTCCCGCCGCAGTGGTCTAATGGCTGAGGTACTCGGCTGCTGCCCCGCAGGTTGCGGGAGCGAATCCCGGCTGCAGCGGCTGCATTTTCGATGGAGGTGAAAATGCTGTAGGCCCGTGTGCTCAGATTTGGGTGCATTTTAAAGAACCCCAGGTGGTCGAAATTTTCGGAGCCCTCCGCCACGGCATCTCTAATAATCATATGGTGGTTTTGGGATATTAAACCCCATATATCAATCAATCTAAGCGAAATGCAGAAATGACGGACTAAACAAGGGGACAGGACAAGTGGTGCACAGCACTTGTCTATCCTCTTCTTCCATCAGTCGTATGCACATTCCATCAGTCATCAGCGCAAACTACATTACAGATAGGGGTGCTTAGATGCTATGCTTTATCGTTAGGTACGCGGCAGTGTGTAGTGAGAGCTAGTAGAAAATTGTGCCAACATGAGGGCATACATCAAACGTGTGCCATAAATTATTTCTGCTGTGATAATGCATCAGGCATGCATGTGTTTATTCAGAGAGTGTGGAAAAGGACGATAACCAACTTTCCAGCACCTGCCTCACCAATCCATTCCCTAATGTAGGAAAAGTTTATTGTGAAAAGGCAGGCTTGGGATGAACTGTAGCCTGAGTTTGTCTATGTCTATCGAAACTGGACAGCACTTTGCCTGTTTCAACATGTTAGCCAGTGGCAACTACTCAGACACAGTGAAAATGAAGTGGCATTCTCAATAAAAACGGACAAGTCAATTTTCACTCCTATGTGTCTATCAGCTTCACAATGTTTAAACTTACCCTTATTCTTCCGACATGTTACTCCTTTTAGCTAGCCATGGCACAGACCAGACACAGTTTAATCCAGGAATGGATATACTGTTGTATTTAATGGCACACGTTTCTAGTCACTGATAGAATGATTGTTCAATTACTAATCGATTGAATGCTGGCCACATACAGCTGCCCTTTAGGCCGAGTTTGCACACTAATGATTCTGTGTAATAGATGGCTTCTCCTGAGAACATCACTAGTTAAGCTTTGTGTTATGATGATGCAGAAGAAATTAGAATTTTTAACAGTATCAAAATTTCGACTACACAGCTCCTACAATCTTGACAAAATGAAGGATGTTAATAACAATATGCGAGCAAAAAAATTAATAAAAATAATGACGAAGCCAATGTAAGAGGAATTAACTTTGACATACATAAACAATATAGTTTGGATGATAACATAACTGATGGAGTTACAAAATAAGCATTCACACACTCACACATACTTGTCTGCACACTTGCAATGAGCAAAAGCACACAAAACCATACTATGTTGAATGGCTTAATGCTACGCAATTTCAGTAATAAGTGTTATAGTACACATTCATTCTTCAAATGAAAAAGTAATAATAATGGCAAGTACCACTACGTTGCCAACTTTAATCCACAAACCTGCTGAATTCACGCACCACACACGTATCAACAGTAGCAGAAAAAAACATTTTCATTGTTGACAGTGAAAGCCAGTGCACACCAGGTGCTTCTCTGGTATGAAAACTAGCAGCTTTAGTGAAATAGCAGCACAAACAACACAGAATAGTCAAGCCGGCACTGCGACTAGAGGTTGAAGTTACTATGATGTTGAAGTAAAACTTGGGGATGATTTAAACATAAAAGTCACAGTGAGCTAAAAAATTGCTAAAAAAGCACACATTCAAGTCAGCAATACAAGGCTAAATGAGAAATTGTCCAAGTGTTTTGGACAAAAAGTGAATTATGTCTCTCTTTTTAACCAGTAACAAATTGTTTGGACATCAGTACTGTTCAGAAATAACCAAATGTTTTCCTAACAGGCAACAATGGAAAGTTGCGGCTGCCACTGACTGAACTAGAAGCTGAGGAGGCGCTTGAACTTCTTGAACGAACGGAAGTTGGCGATATGCGCTGGCCACCATCTTGCACTGCAGACGCTGCCAAACCTTGGGGAGAGTCTGGAACACAATTAATCAATCAGTCCATCAGCAAATTATTACAATTATTCATTTTGCAAAGCATGATTAAATAAGGCTATGCAAAAGAGCTTCCCAAGGTCAGAAGACTGTTCTGGGGTCATCTGTGCATGAGTAATTAATACAAGTTAGAAAATCAGTTCGCAGTAATGCAGCTGAGTAAAGCATAAAGCCATACACACCAGAAAACAGTTTTAAGTCCCGACGTTACCTCTATGACAACTTTTACTTAGAGAAAAAAGAAGAAAAAAAGAAGTGGGTAGAAACATGGCATTTCGAGTAAGTTACTTAAAAAAAAAAGCAAAGGAAAGAATAGACATTCCAACTTGGTCATAAAGAATATCATATTTAATGCAAGACAAAAACTTTAAAGGAATCGTTCAGGATTCTGTGCATAGTAAATTTTAGGTTAAAAGCACATTCGAAGCGAATAGTGATTTTGGTAGAATATTTTCGAATTTAACTGAAATAGTATATGTCAGATAGTATTAAAAAATGGGCATTTGTCATGATGCAACCAACCTACACAATGAAACAAGGCCTGCAGATATGCAATTTTTTTGGTTTGAAGGAAGCGTTTAATAGATTGATTGATATGTGGGGTTTAAGGTACCAAAACCACCATATCATTATGAGAGACGCCGTAGAGGAGGGCTCCGGAAATTTCGACCACCTGCGTTTTTTTAACGTGCACCCAAGTCTGAGCACCCGGGCCTACAATATTTGCAGCCGCCACAGCAATCCCGCGACCTGCGGGTCAGCAGCCGAGTACCTTAGCCACTTGACAACGACAACGGGGTCTGAAATAAGTGTAAAACACTTTGAATAGCAGCAGGATTTGGCTTTCGGTAGCATGCAAGTGACAACCTGTAAAATATGTTGTGTTTTAAAATTTACTATACTTAGAGCAAGTAACAAGCTCGTAAACATAAAAAAAGACGAATCGATGCAAGTGTAAAAATGTATGTTCATTTAACCTTGAAGTGAGGCTTTGCGACAATGCAAATTTCCCCTGAGCAGGTGTTTTCATCGCTTGACATTCTTTCACTGCAGTGAAATCACCTTAACAAGAGAATAGTTTTCTTGCATGAGTGGAACTACTTAAATTTTTTCATGCTATACGCTTTTAGCTCGCATGCACCGTTACGTTACCTTATGCTTATGTTATGCCTACGTTACCGTGTTACTATATATCAGATGGCGTCTGCACATGCGTGGGCCTTTACAGACCGTAGATGGAACGTAAACTAGCACTCGCCGAATATGTTTTGTGTACGCAGCTACAGCTCACGAACTAACTTTTGTACGTGGCTAGTCACAATATCCACTTTTCAGACTCCAGCCGGCCAGTGAAAATAAGACAACCTGTGAGCACCAATAACGTCCACATTGCTTGAGCTGGATTACTAAAGCTGGAGTGACCATAGAATACCGAGACAAAGAATGTGAAAGTATTGAGAGAATTAAAGCCTCTGAGAGGGCCGACACATGGTGCCATCTAGTGTGGCCGAGATGTACCAGGCAAGCACAAAAAATGTTCTAGTGAAAACGATGTGCATTCTACTTATGGTGTAATACCTGTGTCACACGGGCGCGCAAAAGGTCTTTTAAGTAAGCGGTCTTTTACGAAGTTGAAAGACTTTTAACAAAGAGGTGTTTGCGGCGCAGACACACGGCAGCAACGATCTCCTTTTAGTGTTTTCGTTCGAAGACGCTAGCGAAAGCGTGGCGCTAGCAGTTAAAAGAGAAGCAATAAAAATTAAATGATGTATCACGATGTACAAATTAAAGACTTGTTGCACTGCTCGTTTCTTCAAATAAATTTAAGAATAAGAGATGAAGAAACACCAATGTGAATGTTTTTTGCACTAGATAAGGAAGCATTCCCATAACTAGCGACGTGCACAAGTCCGTCTGGCACCACTGTGCTTTTATTTACCGTATTTGTTTTTCGCTGCTTTCGACTGCTCTCGACACGTTATGGGCGACCGTATGGGAGAAAAAGCGAGGATCGCAAGCCTCACGGCCTGCCTTCTCGCTCTGGAAAGCGAGGCAGACGCTGCAAAAGCCGTCAAGGAGAGGATAAAGCAGCGCAAGACCGAGCGTCACCACGTGATATTGCCGACGCGTTGTAGCTGCTTACGAGAGTAGAAAAGGAAATAACCATAAAAAGAGTTCATTACACCTTCTGCAGGATATGAAATTTGTTTTTACAAAGAGTTTTGGTGACAGAAAAATAAGCATTCGCTCTTTTTTTCCCACCACTCGAAAATTGCTGGCACCCACTGGTTTCGAGGCTACTCATTCGGAGCCGTAAAAGAGATCGACGAACGCCGTTTACGAAAAAGACCGCTTCTGAAAAGGAGTTCGCTCTGTGCCGTGTGCCTGCTGTCAGGAACTCCTTTTCGGAAAAAGACCCCTTACTTAAAAGACTTTTAAGTGCCCGTGTGACAGGGGTATAAGTGCCTTGCAGCGGCATGATTCGGAATTAGTTTCTTTTATAATCTGGTTTCCTCTCAAAAACGCTACGCGAGAAAAAACCAGTTCAGGATTGCGGTTGCATGGAGCGTCTCAAGATGTTAAAACTATCATTTGGTCGCCCAGTACTCCTACACCCCTTTGCACATAGCGAAATACCGCACGTAAATGTATACGCCAACGTACATAGATAAATGTTTACATATTGGAAGCAAAACCACGCATTACAGTAACATGGTAAAAGCAATCCGACAATTTTAAAAAGCATACGTACAAGCTAAAAGTCCCTAATGTCTCATCTTTTCCCACGATGTGCCTCATTTTACCTCGTAAGTTGGGGCAAAATGAAACATTTGAGAGCTTTTTTTTTTTTAAGGAACTCTGCAACACTTTATCAGCATGATCATAAAACGCTACTGGTCAGTAGTTGAGGCCCCAGATAAGCACAATCGAGCCAAACATTACAGCCCAGCACAGGGCCTAGAATTTACAATGAATTCTCAAAATTCAGCAAGGAATTGTTCCCTCTTCTCGGTAGAAATGACGCCATAAACCCAAAGTACACGTCCACTAGCTGATTTGAGCATTTTGAGCTGCATAATTACTGCACTCGCCGTATGATGCCACCACGTGCTCACATGCACGCTCGCAATCGCATTGAAAGGAAGCCGCATATTCAAAGGGAAAAAAGAAAAGAAAGTAATTAAGGTCATGACACGCAATGACAAACGGACGCATCTTCTTGCCCTGTTGTCACCCCCGCCATCTCTGTGTAGCTTTTAGCACACTCGCTGGTCTGAAAGGAGAGAGAATCAGTGCTTGAAGCGTGCCACAAATACCTGTAACTACACTCATACTTGACGGATTCTAAAAATTTTTGCCATACTCAATTCATGAGGCAACAGGCTCTGCTAATGAATCCAGACGATGATTACTTGGACAAGCATTGCAGAGCCCGGTGACTTTCAAACAGCCAGAACATGGCGTTTTTTGTGCACCACATGCCTTGCACCCAAAGGAAAGCTTCTTCTTTTGCTATACAGTATTGAATGAAATTTTAAAGGTATTCATAAAGGCAAATTATTGTAGCATTTTCCTATAAATGCAGCCCACAGAACTGTTATATCAGGTTTTGCTGCATTTACAGAACTGAAACCTTGATAAAAATTCTCAATGATCTTTATTAAATAGTGAAGGTCTCCCCCCCAAAAAAACCCTGCTTCTTACAGTCCCTAGATTTTCCCTTTCTCTTGTAAATGGCACAGAACTTCACAAATGTGTGCACTGGTTGCTCAACAAAATCATTTAATAGAAGATTTCACAGTCCGGCTGAACAATATGAGAATATGCCATATGCAACTCTGATGAGTGCAACCATGCTAGGCCAATACAGCAACTTGCTGTGAAGTTCAGCATTTGCTACCATCTTAGCTACCACAACAACAGCAAACAGCTAAGGGAAGACACGAAGCTAAGCCAGAGAAGAGAGAATTCCAAATGGCTGCCATCTACATGGGTAAGGGTGCATGAAAGATGAGAGAAGTCCATAAAGTCTACACCTAAAAGCTTCCAAGACATAGGCATATGGTATACATTCTGTCAAAACCAACATAAGATCCTGCAAAAGAAATTGGAGAGGAGCGAAGCATGTAGGAAAAGTTTTTTTCAGCTCCAGCAATGTGAAACCTGGGCAGAAGTGAAGCATGCAGTGTTTTCCTCTTCTTTTTCTTCCGCCCTACATGCCCGGTTTCAGTTCTCACGGACCTTTTTAATGGTGAGAAGGGCATAAAAGCCGATGTCGGCCCCTTATTTCAGGGAGGGGGGGGGGTCACACATGTTAACAGCTCAGAGGGGCCCTGAGAGCCTTCGTTGGCAAGGTGTATACTACAAGTAGGAAAGGCTGTTTCAGCTCCCCTAACATTGGGATAACTGTTGCAGTCTTCATTTTTAGTTGATCGGTGGAGAGTAGTGGGAATTACCCAATCGGAGTGGCACATACCCATTTATATGATGAACCGTGACTACACAACGCACCATGATGACATTAGACACCACCAAGCCATTATACACTAGGTTGCTTCACCACATCATGATCCCGTGATGACTGCATCACAAATTGTGTCAACCTTGTGCAGTCATGATGCTGTAATAGGATCATGTCATCACGTGAAGTTGACTTTACGATGGCTACATGACGCACCGTGTCGACAGGAATCGCCAACAAGCCTAGCCTCTAAAATGCTTCTGACCTGAAGTGCAGATCCCTTCAAGCACCATGGAGATGGAAACCGGCAAAGCTGTGGTGAAAGCACCTGTAGCAGCCGCACATTCTGCAGAAGCGGCTTCATTTCCTTTTCACACACATTAATGCTTCTGTACGCTCCTTCAATTGCTGCTTCTTCCTTTGAACAAAAGACATGCATCTGTCCAATTAAGGGTCCAAGGGCAACTGCTGATAACAGCGCTAGTGCAATCTCCATGTCAGAGGACAGGCACAACAGATTGGTGGGAAGTGACGCCCGTGTATCACAACACTAGTGAAAGAGGCACCAGCAGTGACAAAGGGCTTGTTAGGAATAGCAGTGCAAAGACGGAAGGACAAAGACACACATTAGATGACACGGATGCTGATGAGAGGCACATATGCGAGGACATTTTATCCATGAACCGGCATATAATTGCCGTTGAAGGTTGTTCTCCTGCGCATCAGTTTGTACAAGCGGGTGACCTGCCAGAACCTAGCCATATGCAGCTTCCCTCTAAAATAACAGTGTGATCCTTGACACCACAGTTCAAGATGTGGCTCAGGCTTGGGTTCTCACTTTCTCTGATGCACACACAAAAAGAAATGCCTCAAAGTCAGGCAAATGTAGCAAGCACTAACAAAGATTTGTGCTTTGTAATGACATATTCCATATGCAAGTGAAACACCTACCTTTTAAGGATGTCTCATCATAGAGAGACATCTGTCGAGCATGCAGAAACATTGGCGCTCTCCGAGGTCCCGGAGAAGGAATTTCCATGTGCTTCGATGCAAGATTGCCCCATAGCTCTGGAAAAAATATATTAAATGTTGAAGCCTTACTTCTTACATTGATGGAATAAGTATTCTGAATGAGACCAAATTGTTTATCTTAACTTACCAAAAAAGACATTAACTGGTTATTTACTTGGCCAATATAATGAACAAAGGAGGAGACGGAGCATCTTTACTAAAATGTATAAAATATACATCAGTAAAAAACATATCTCAGAAGAACACTACAATCATGAATGAAGCCCAAGATCATTGAATCCTAGCTATAATATCACAAACATTTGTTGTTGATGCTTTCTATCGTTCTTGTAGACAAAATGGCACCAAACACCATTCATCAAAGCATGTATTCATTAGATTACCAAGATACATCATTCTCCAAATGTCACTCCACACCAAGAAAAACTAATACAGTGTGCAACTTTTATGAAGACTATAATGAGTAGGCTTCTACAAAAGGAAAAAAATGTTGCCATGTTATTCAAGGGAAAAGAATTAAGATGGTAAATATTTATCATAACTCGTTTGCAAAACCACCGAATACAGTAAACTCCTAGCTTATCGAAAACCACTATAAGCGTTGTGTGAAGGCCGTTGTGCTTAAGCCATATTTGAGGATATCGGCTATGCACATTCAAAATAACATGTCCAGAGATTCGAGTCAGTGCTGCTGCTTGCCAGCACTGTGGACAACCATGAAAGCTATCATTTAAAACTAGCTTGCTTCAAGATTATGGAGTGTCCTCATGTTTACAAAAATTTGAGCAATGTACTAAGGGATAAACTAACAGCTGTGTCACAAGTGAAAGTTGGTTCACCTCAACAATGTACAGTATATATCTATAATTATCAGTGTGCAGGACAAGTCGAACACCACCTTAATCGTTTTTGTGGTTTCTGCTCTACAGGTGTCAACACCTTTATTGATGCTGACATTCATTGACAATGACCTCATTGATGCTGTTGCATCGATATCGAAATACAAAGTTTGACCTAACCAACTGTACAGTTAACAATAAGCATCACCATTAGGTATGGTATGCAAAGACCTTCTTTCTTGCACCACCGACTTTCAATTTCCATTCCAAAGGGCTGGGTAGGCCAGAACATATGAGGGTAAATGGATATGTGATAGTAAACTGATGTTTATCTGGTTCATTTATTATCAAATGATTACCACATGGCTTAATTAATGCCCACAGGCATGCAATGTCAGCTACAAGCAGAAGGGCAAATGATGCTGCCACATACGAATGATGATACTGTGCCTCTACATTTTCTTTCTTGATGCACACATTTTCATAAGCCTGCATACTTGTTTACAACAATATCAGCTCCTTTCTCATTTCCACTTTTATTATATTGCAGAATAAGTAATTCATCTACACTCAAGCCTCATTATAACAAAGTTGCATCTTATATAAAAAGAGGATCGTTATAGTATCCAAAATTTGTTATTATAAGGGTACATTCCTAAGACTATGTATAATACAAGACTATTCTTCGTTTACTTCGTTATAACCGATATTCCGTCAACATCGGCCTCGCTACATCGAGGTTTGCGTGTATACCCATAAAAAGTATTGTTTGCCTCTTATAGCCTCTCTAAAAAATTATGGTAAATTTATTTTTAAATAGGTCACTTTCAACATTTTAAATATGCCATAAAAAACTGGGAGGCAGCATAGAGCAAAAAAAGAACCTTCCAAAGTTTAATATCTTAATATTGCCACGTTACTTTCCTCAAGTTTTTGTTATCACCCCGTTACACTATGTTCAGCGCAAACCACGCTTACCATGTTTGAGAAGCTTCGAGGCTTTAGTAGATCATTTTGTTCGGATTACGGCCACTTTGGGAACGTCACAGATTATTCGGGAACCTACGTCACCGCTAGCGATAACGCTGGAATATTTGATGGCAAGGGTATAAATGCCAACACACTTCGCCGCTTGTCAGTTGATCGACGGCCGACGCTGCATTCGCCGCTATCTGTGCAAGTGTACTATTGTAACCCGACTTTCCGTTTACGGGGCACAGGTACGCCCAGATAAACAGTTTCATCTGACCATCCAGTCTCCTGCCTTCAACCGCGTCATGACCTCGTGACAATATCTCATGGGTGTATACTACACTGCATGCAAAAACCACTGCAAGTTATTTATTTTTACCCTCGGGGCTTTTCAGCATTAGAGAGGGGGAAACAATATAATGCTTATGTGCGCGAGCGTCCACCAAACTACAGCTATTTTGCACTGTATTACCGTAATTACACGAATCTAACGCACACCTTTTTTCCGGTTAGGAGAGTTCATAAATCGCATGCGCGTTAGAATCAAGTACGAAAAAGAAATGAATACGGTCATTTTATTGCCATCGGCATTTTCAAAATGGTCGCCCCCTAGGCGCGTCGGCCATTTTTGCCTAAGTGTTTCCCATAGGCGGCACTTCGTACGTGTGCTGAGGAGTTCGTCATCTTGTAGTGCATTAGCATCGACGGCATGGAAGGGCCGACTCCGAAAACTCAAGTGCACCATGATGCCGCTTTTAAAAGAGAAGTCATCGCGTGCGCAGAAACTGACGGAAATCGAGCCGCATCGCGGTCGCTCGGAGTTTTTTAAACGTGCGTGCGGGACTGGCGGAAACAAAAGCAGAAGATTGTCGACAACACAGCTTCACGCAGAGGCTTCAGTGAACCACATCAGGGTCGGTTTCCACAAATTGAAGAGCTGCTCAGCGAGTATGTGCTTGTGCAGCGAGTGGCGCAGTGGCCCGTGACGACAGAACTGGTCCAAGTACGGGCTGTGCAGTTAGCCTTAGAAAAAGGCCTAATGCGAAGCCAGTTTAAAGCGAGCATGTGCTGGCTAATTTACTTTATGAAGAGGAAAGGCTTTTCCCTCCGAAAGTGAACGAGCATATGCGAAAAGTTCTGCGGAGGAGTATGATGAAAAGCTTCACAGTTTTCAGAGGTTCATCCTAAACTTGCGGCACAACAACGGCTACCTGCTTGGGCAAATCGGGAATGCCGATCAGACGCCTCTTTACTTCGACATGCCTGGCATCACAACCGTCGAGAAGAAGGGGGCGAAGCAAGTTCGCGTGCTGACATCGGGCCACGGTATAACTAGAGTGACGGCAATGCTCCGTTGCACATCAGATAGGCACAAGCTTCCCCCGTACCTCATATTTAAACAGAAGACGCTCCCAAAAAGAGTCTTTTTCCCGAGTGGTGTGATCGTGTGGGCAAACGAGAAAAATGGGTGCGCGTTGCAATCGATGTCTTAATTTTTTTTTTCGTCATGGAAATCGGGTGCGCGTTACAATCGAGGGCGCGGTAGAATCGAGTAAATACGGTATGTGAAATGTGTAGTGAATTGGCTCACTTTTAAGCCAAGCTTACCGTGATCCTTAATGTGCTGCCGTAAGTGAAGCAACCACTTTGTGAAGTCTTGTTCGCCATCAGCAACAATGAGATGTTCTTGTGCCTTGTCAGCAACACCAGTGTTTATGCGAACAGCATGCATATACTTTGTAGAGCAGTTGTCAGTGCGCAGCCGCGTATCCTACAGAGAACATGAGCAATGGCAAATAAAATAAAGGTCATCAGACAGAACAAAATGTGTTCTTTACATCAATAACAATCGAAGCAATACGTTCCTTATTTGTGAAGCTGCTGACTACCATAATCTGTACATGCCAAGAAGCCTTCTGTACTATTTGATTTAGCTGTGGTCAAGAGCTACGCTAATGTTTTCTTCCATGTTCCCCAAACAGTGCCTTATGGTAATACCTCAATGCTACAAGAACAAGTCTAACAAGAGTTTTGTTTACACACTGAAGCAGCACTTTTCATGCCAGAACTCAAAGTGAAAGTAAAAGATTCATTTGTGCATGAAATTATTGAACATGCAGGCATCGGAGAGTGATCAACAGCTTTCTGCTTTAAGAACTGTCATTCCCACAGCCTGACCAATGTTGCTGTCAAAGAGAATATAATGTATTTTGTCATACAACAAGCAATTCCTCGAAAGTTAAAACTATACCATAAAAAACTTGGACCATCTCCCCGAGAGAACCCTGATGGGACGCGAAGAAGCAGCATTGTGCACGGGTGACATCACGGGTTGAACAGTGCTAATGCAGGTGTTGCGGTGAGCGCAGGAAGATTCGTTTGAAGCGATGGCTGGCATAGGTCTTGTAGGTGACACGTATGGACATGCTTCAACGCGTACGTTAGGCATGCATCAGGTTTATTGCGCGTGAACCAACGAGTTGGCGGTGTAATGAGCAGCGGTCGCTGCAGTGTTACGGGCAAATGGACGAAGCAGCAGCTGTGGACGCCGCAGCGAGCGCATGGTAGGCAAGAAAGATAGTGACATCAGCGCACATTGCGAGGGGAGCGTGCCGTCGACGCGCGGCAGCAGTGTTACCTACTTGGCACTGCGCCAACAACTGCGACGCGCGGCGTGTTGTATAGAGGGACAGTGCTACACAGGCCAGTGAAAGAGCTGCTTCGTATCTAAAATCATGTGAACTATTGCAGAGCTTCTTGCTACGTGGGAGGTAACACAGTTTCATTGACAAGCACCTGTTTGGGCATGAATGCTATGTATAATGCCAAACCTGCTCTTCAAACCATTGATTGTGCCATGAGATGAGACCTGTACTATAATTCAGCTCTAGAAATTGTGGATCTTCTCGGTGTTGGCACAAACAATAGCCATCATGTCAGCTTCCCATCGATACCTGCATGTCACAGTATGATGGGAAATGAAATAGAAGACGCTGAAGTTAACCACTTTAAATAAATAATGTCCCTAATGCATGCACAGCATCCTCACAAACTGATGCAAATGTCCTGCTTCAGTGTCTAATGACTTAATTAGTTACTCTTTTTGAGGATACTGTAACAACCTGTTTTGATTGCTTTGTACAATATAAAACAACAAACCCTAGACTACCCTCAGTAATTCACAATAATCCCAACTACAAAGAGAAGTGGCGAGTCTGGTACAAATTTCCCAGATATTTCAATCTTTCAAAAAGGAACTTAGTGTTAAACCCAATTATTATAAATATATATGCACTTTGACAAGTTTAATTAAAAATAACCTGGGAAAACCTTGGTCTTAAAACAGCCTACCAGTGCTTCATCTAATTTATTTATGTTTAATGATTTAACTATTTCAATTGTGTTTAACAGTTACTTTAAGTCGGTTTTCACTATGAATCGTTTTGTGGTTCTCCCTTTTGGTATAGAGTACGACCTTTACTAGATGATATCACAATAAATGAGGAAGGTTTACCGAAGCTATTTCTAAATCTAGACTCTAAAAATGATTAAGAGCCCTGTTAACATTTCAAAATAAATTCTGTCACATTATTCATCAGGAACCTACAAATTTTGCACAATTGTTTCTTCAAAAAATCCCTGACCACGTTTGTGGTACCAATTTCATGCAAGTTTGTCAAGGTTCTCCTGTTTACAAATCTACAAACATACTTTTATAAATTATAGACTAAATTTATTAACCTTTCAGTTGGGCAAATACAAAAGAATCTCGACAATACAAATTTGAAGAGAGCACGCGAAATTTCCGTACCATTCCAAATTCGTACGAACCTAAAAAAATGATCAGAAAGATGAACAAGACTTTATTTAGGTCCACTACTTCTTGTTGAAAAAATGTCCATGATGTTGTTTTGACCTTTCCTGTTTTCACCGCCTCTCAGTAAAGTGCCACAGTTTCCGCACTCATGCTGCTGGCGCATAAGGCGCATTCACACTTGGCCTCGAAGGGAGCGAAAGCAGAAAAACTTGTTAGAAATTCACTCGCTTCTCCACTTAAGTGGCCAAAAAAACGAGCTGACACGTAAAACAATCAGTGCTGCAAAATTCATACTAAAGAAATCAAGCGAAAATCTCAAAGCGGTCGCAAAACCACATTTGCGCTAGTCAAAAATGTTCACATTCCTTCTGCCCCTCGTATACATGTCACTACCGCCGTTTGATAATTCATTCCATTTTGCCCGCTACTTGAGCATAAAATTCGTATCGCGTTCTTGTTATGCATGCAAAGCACTGAAAAGAACTAGTTTACATCTGTGCAAACATTGTTTTGGGAGATGCGCCAGAAGAAACAACACGAGCGGACGCACCGGCAGCGGCAGTGACTGATTCAGCCGGCAGTGCAAAAGCGAGACACGCTAGGGCATGCTGACTCGCTGCTGCTGCACCTTCTTCTACTTGCAGTGTTTGTAGCGATCGTAATCCAAACCAGGTTCTCGATAAGCCCGTCTTTGTGAAGGCCATGAGGTTTGTCATGCTGTGCAGGTAGTTCGCGGTTGCACTGACGCTAGCCACTGCTAGAGTGTACTAGAACAAGGGGAGTGCCCGGAACGGCCGCAGCCCCAATAGGTGAAGCCCAAACAGGGTCAATCCGCTTGTGCGCTGTGATCGGTAGTCTGGAATGTGTCGTCATTTTAAGAACCACGCGCACCTCCACCAAAGTGGTCGAGGGGTAGAATGCTCGCTTCACACTCAAAAGACCCAGGTATGAATCGCAGCTGTGGGCGATGAATTTTCTTTTTTTTTTTATTTTACTTGCACAGGTGTATTGGTTGGTTTTGTTTTTTAATTTGGCTTCAGTTGCCACATATTGCTACGAAAAATCACGTGAAATATGACGGTGTGCTTTCATAGCAGGCAAGTGAAAACACACAGTCTCTCTTGTGCGCCGAAATCTCGGAAGCCATGCTTTAAAGTTTTTGTTAAATCCCTTGCAGTGGCGCTGCAAATAAATGCGCTCAGTGTGATGTTTTTTTTTTCTTTACTTCGTATTTCGCGTGATTTTTTGTAGCAATATGTGGCAATATGAAGCCAAATTTTAAAAAAAGCCAACCAATACAGCTGTGCTAATAAAATTAAGAAAAAAGAAAATCTATCGTCCACAGCTGCGATTCGAACCTAGGTCTTTTGAGTGGGAAGCGAGCATTCTACCCCTCAACCACTTTAGTGGAGCTGCGCACGGCTTCAAAAACGACGACACATTGAAGACTGCCGATCGCAGCGCCACAAGCGGATCGACCCTGTTTGGGATTCAATTTTCGAAGCTGGGTCCGGGCACTCCATTTATTCTAGTACACTCTACCACTGCCAACACCTTTGCCGCCATGTTGAATTTGCGGTTGGTTGTTTTCATCACGTGGTTTGGAACAAGTGCAACGGTGCAACCAGCGTAGGCAAAGCTGTGAAGCAAAAAGGCGATCTGCTATCACGCGGCAGAAAAACTGGTCTCAGACCGATTTTTTCACGTCGGCCTTGCGCTGTGGTTTTCGAGCCACTTAGGCGGCGAAGCGAGGGACATTCCGGTGAGTTTTGACGCATTCGCTTCTTTCGAGGCAAAGTGTGGACGGGCCTTCCTCCTACAGACAAGCTGTGTTGCACCATTCACATGCAGCGGTCAATAGCGTGTTCCTATCATCCACGGCATGTTTTATATAATGCAGTCCTTACGAAGCAACCTTAAAATTTGTATCATCACGGAATTCGCATCAACCGCACTCATATTTGAGATTCTACTGTAGCTACAGCATGTCATCTGCCACCATTCGATCTGTTTTTCGACATGTTTTTATACAAGGCCTCAGCCCTCACTGCCAGATCGTCCAATTTGTCCATGATATACCAAGTAAGTTTATCAATGCCAGAGATGACATTGATGCAGTATTAATCAATTTTACCAAAGCATACGACACAGTACTGCACACTGAACTTTTGCATAAACATCAAGTCATATTGAAAAACTGTACTTGTGCAACTTTCTTATCTAGCTATTTCTGCCAACATTCACAGCATGCGTTTAACACTTTCGTGACCGCGCCTATCCCCATCGATAGTATGTTGTCAGTATTTATAACTTCAATATTTGTCCTGTTCTAAGCAATTGTGGAATCTTGCGTCATCTGACATGTAAAAGAAGAACTATTTATTCAGTTTTTCTTTTGTATTTATCTTTTTTCAACCATGCGAGGATTTTAGGGCACCTTTTCATACACGCGGGTGAGCGTGCGTAGCTTTAATGAGGGCATTGACTCCGCGTGTGACCGCTTGATGAAAACGGCGTATTTAGGAGGATTCTCGTGCACCTGGACTGGAATCTTCCAATGATGTCAGCAGCACAGGCTTGGAAGACGACACTGACATTTCTGATTTCAGCACCGACGATGAGAGTTCGTGAAACCGCACTGGAACATCAGAGGTCGTCCACTGATGAGTTTAGCTTTGTGCTCGGGCCGCGTTATGGCCGGCCCGCGTCAGTGCAAGTTGATCTGATGTGTTCTGAAGGTTACAGCTCTTATCCTCTTGGTGTTCACATCCTTGGGGCGGGACCCCTTGCTGGAAACAGCTCAGGCAGCGAACGCAGTTTCATGCGCGGAGGCAGCCGGGACTGAATTTTGGAACTCCACTCCGTAGTGCCACGCGGAGCTTTGCGAGAGCTGTCGACTTTGTTTTTTACTGCTCAAGTTATTAGAGAGAACAGAAAAATTGTTTTCTGTGAAACATGTGCAGCAAACCTGCCTTTCACTGCATCGCGAAACTGCTTTGCCCAGTGGCATGATAGACGCCGCATGTAATGTTATTCTATGTACGCCAAAACTTTTGCATTTACAGCACTTATACAGACGACTCTCATTGATTCGAACAAGCTTAAGTCTAACTTCTGGTTAATTGGAACTCAGGATGAGGTCCCGTCAAAGCTATGTGTATTCCAATGGGCAAAAACGCCCGGTAATTCGAACGCGCAAGTACTTGTGACGGTTAATTCAAACATACCGCACCCCACTTGATCCCGCGGCGGCACCTGCGACACCTTAACGCTGTGCGCGAAGGAAATGAAAGGGAAAGGAAAAGCTGCAGTGAATGTTTGCTCTCTCTCAAATGCCGATGTGCAACGTGTCCGTGTCACGCTTCTCTTTCCCTCCCTGCCACGTAAAAACCCTTCTCCTTCCAACGCCGCGCGCGAAGAGAGAGAGGAAAAAAAGAAAGCTGTCGCTGGGTTGAATGACTGTGTGGTTGAAGGAAAGGAAAAAGGCACTATCTTCTGCAGCCCTTGCCCCTTGCAGGGAGCACAACTCTGCGGCTTGAGATGGGGGAGGATCTCGCGCGCCGGTGCCACGCTTCCCCTTTTCCGTCCCTGCCACGCAACTTTGAACGCGCATCACCGATCACTTCAATTATAATGGGATGTCCTGTGATTTGTGAATGAATCTAAGTCTTCTGAAACTTCCCTCTAATGTGTTAGCTCAATGCACATGCGCCACTGCATGGAGAGCTCTCTTATCATTTAGCTTTCATTAATTTGAACTTCTTTTAATTCGAACAAATATTTGGGCCCCTTCGAGTTTGAATTATCGAGATTCGACTGTATTTATAGGATAATTTTGTGTGTTCCTTTCGCTTAAAATGTATACTTCAATTTCTTGTATACTTACCTTCTTCAAAGCAGTGTTGATAGTTTTATTAAATTTCTTTGTTCATGTTACAATTTTTTTGTTTGATTATCTTTTTGGTACTATAGTTAATAAATTTGTGATTTCAAACTGACTTTGTTTGAAGGATAACTTCTTGCTGTACAATTTCATACCATAAACATCAACAGCAGAAACTTTGGGTGCCATAAAAAATAATGTTTTCTGGACTACCCGAAAACAGCCATGTTTTTACCAGTCACGAAAGTGCTAAACTTTAGCAAATTTCTAGCTGTAAATGTACCATCTGCTGCACCAAGAGATGCTTGGCCTACTCCAATCTTGCTTTATACAAACGACCTATGTCTTAATGTTTCATCAAAAATCTAGTTATACTACACCAAACTATGCATTACATCACATTGTTAGCTCTCACTTTCGAAAGGCTTTGTAACTGGTGGCAATAGTGGCAGATGACCATCAACTTCAATAAAGCTGCTGCCTAGTCATTTTCAAGGTGTTTATGCTATATATGATTTCACACATTCTTTCAACAATCACTCCTTTGCCCGCTACGGGAGTCTAGTGGCTAAGGCACTTGGCTGATGACGTGCAGGTCGCGGTATAGAATCCCAGCCGCACTTTCGATGGAGACGAAAATTCTTGAGACACGTGTGCTGAAATTTAGGTGTCCCCAGGTGGTTGAAAATTCCAGAGCCCCCTATTATGGCATCTCTCATAATTATATGATGGTTTTGGGGCATTAAACCCCAACTATTATTATTATTATTATTATTATTATTATTATTATTATTATTATTATTATTATTATTATTATTATTAGCAATCACTCCTAGAAAGTCTATAAGTGTAAATATTTTAGAGCTGTTTTTATGAGTATATTTTGGTCTAAAACGAACAAGCAAAAATAATGAAAAAATGGGAATGGTTTGAGGGGCTCATTAATTTTTTGGGAACATGAAAAATTCAACAGACAATTAAACCAAGGAATGCACAGTGGACAATTTTTTCTAGTTTTTAAATGCAGTGTAGTAATTACAAGATATACTTAAATAATTTAAACTGAAGAAAAATGCACCTTTGCCATTGGTGGGGACCTGAACCCACCACTTTTGATTTAAGCATATTTTGATGGCTGTTTTTTAACACTCACGTCTGAAATTTCAGCTTGACATTAACACACTTGTTCATGTTTAAGTCGTAACTTTCGTTCAAATGTGTTCACAATATCCATGTTTTGTTCTTTTGCATAGAGTTCTCGAATTAGGTTATTCTGATATGCTAATTTACTTCTAAAACTTGATCAGCTCAGAAGAAAATCTTGCTCCCGAAATGCACATATACTGTTTGGTATTATAGAAACTATACAATGTGTCAGAAATGCCTATAACTGTCTAGTTCAAATCAGCACACAAATACATACACAATCTCAGCAAGTTTAACAAAAATTAACCAAAAAATGATTTTTTTTCTTATTGTTTTAAAAGAATGTATCATCACTTAAATCTAGCGGTGTGAACCAGCCCATGAAGGTTAGTTGCAAAGTTATACGACCGTACACACCATGTTGATTGGGATGCTCAGAACAGGAGGTAAATGCCTAGCATCCTCTGGACTTGTCCAAAGGCAGAGCTGAAAGTTCTTGAGTACACACCATAGACGTCGGCGGCCACTCACACCATCGGCCAACTGCAGCACAAGAAAAAAAGCCATTAAAAAAGCAATCATGCCAAGATTATGGACGGATGAATCCGCATGGTTATATGTATGTATATATATATATATATATATATATATATATATATATATATATATATATATATATATATATATATATATATATATATATATATATATATATATATATATATATATGAGTAATAATTCAATGGGCCAGTTAGTCTTCGTGAAGGTATAGAATATGGCACAACGGGAGCGTTATCAACAAGGATAAATATATTTATTTCCCAATAGTTTCGGGAGGGGTCCTCCCTTCGTCAGGGGATGAGTTACACTAACATAAACGTATAAACTTCGTTGCTGCCGCGTCCCTCTTGCCTTGAAAGATGTTTGCGAGAGTGAGAAATAACTAAAAAAACGCTGTGAACGCTGAGCACAAAACCACACTGCGCACATCCAAATGTCGGCGTAAGTCCACATCCCGTTCTCATAGTGTGCCGGCCAGTTCTCCACGTGTGTCAGGCCACCCAAGATTGTCGCCACGGTGGCGGGAGGGGTCCGCGAAGGCGTGCATAAGGAAAGAGTTTCCCCTTAATGTGTCGGTCAGCTCTTTACATTTGATCTTCACCCGTTTCCCCTCAATGAACGTCAAGTGGTAGGCGAGCGTAAACACTTTGTATGTACACGTGAGGAAAAAAATATATAAAAAGAAAAGGAAAAGAAAAACAAAGTGAAAAAAAGAAACGACAGTGCACACGTCAGTCAGTCATAAAAAACAAGCATGGTCACCAGCTATGAATCTTTGTCACCAATTTCCTCCTGGCTTACTTCTCGGAGGCAGGAGAGTCTTCCGGGGTCCTTGTTAATGCTGGCCACTAATGTTCTAAATTTGAAAATAAAATATGCCTCACGCTCGTCACGCTCACACCTATTTGAGAAAACGGACTATAACAGAGTTACGCTGATATTTTCAAAACTGTAATATATACATATACCGTATTTACTCGCGTAATCCTCGCACTCGCATAATTCTCGCACCCCCCCCATCGCCCAAGAAAAATAAGATTTTTTTTTTTCCTCGCGTAATTATCGCACCCCCGAAAACTCCCGCAATAACGTCGTCTGCTTGTTCCAGCCACTGATGATGATAGCGGGCGCTATCTGGCGCCATCTCTTAAGCATCAAGCGTACTATTCCACGGAGATTCAATCCAATTCAAGCCAAGCCGAAGTGGCCAGTGCACGTTGCAGCGTGTTTTGTATGTTGTGTCGGTAATCTTTGCACGTTATGGGGCAATACTGAAGCCACACGGCTGCTTCAAGCTGCAAAAGATAAATCATGCACTAAACAGCGGCAACAGGGCCGCCGACAGGCCCTTAAGAGCCTACGAGTTTTGTGTTCGCTACTGGTGACGGCAGCTGAAAGCCACCAAACCGCATTGGGCCTTCTGTGTGCCTAAAACTGGGATTGATCATAAACTTCATTTCTTCAGAAGGAAACTGCAGACGATTCTGTTAAATAGCCATCAGCCCAATACTGACGTCCTACGCTTACATTTTGAGGGCTCCTGTTGAGCGCCAACCGCTACGGCTACGCCCGCAACGCCCACAAGCTTCGCGTATGGTATTCTAATTCTCGACTATTTGCTTCCACTTTCTGTGTCTCAAATAAATCTTGCCTTGTATTGAACCTCTGGTTTTATTGTTGAATAAGCTCTAATTAGTACTTCTTAAAGCTTGCTGTAAGTTGCTGGCATGAGAATCCCGATTTGCGGCCACTTCGTTTTCTTTTTCGCTCTCTGCATTTTCGTGGAAAGTTTTCCACTCGTAATTCTCACACCCCCCAACTTTGCATCAATTTTGTGGCAAAAAAAGTGCAGCGATTATGCGAGTAAATACGGTATATATATATATATATATACATACCGTAATTACTCGAATCTAACACGCACCTTTTTTCCGGTTAAGCGAGTTTATAAATCGCATGCGCATTAGAATCGAGTACGCAAAAAATTAATACGGTCATTCTATTGCCATCGGCATTCCAAAATGGACGCCCCCTACGAGCGTCGGCATGGCGCGTCGGCCATTTCTGCCTATGTGTTTCCCATGTGCGGCACTTCGTACGTGTGCTCAGAAGTTCGTCATCTTGGTGTGCATTAGCATCGACGGCATGGAAGAGCCAACTCCAAAAACTCGATGAGTGCACCACGATGCTGCTTTTAAAAGAAAAGTAAGTCATCGCGTGTGCCGAAACGGACGTAAATCGGGCTGCATCGCGGTCATTCGGAGTTCCCGAAACAGCGTGCGAGACTGGCGGAAACAAAAGCAGAATATTGTCGACAGCAAAGATGGCGGAAACAAAAGCAGAATATTGTCGACAGCAAAGATGGCGGAAACAAAAGCAGAATATTGTCGACAGCAAAGATTCATGCAAAGGCTTCAGCGGACCACAGCAGGGTCGGTTTCTGTAAATTGAAGAGCTGCTCGGCAAGTATGTGATTGAGCAGTGAGCAGCACAGCGGCCCGTGACGACAGAACTGCTATAAGTGCAGGCTGTGCAGTTAGCCTTAGAAAAAGGGCTAATGCGGAGCCAGTTTAAAGCGAGCAGGTGCTGGCTAACTAACTTTATGAAGAGGAAAGGCTTTTCCCTCTAAAAGCGCACAGGCATATGCCAAAAGTTGCCGGAGGTGTACGAAGAAAAGCTTCAGTTTTCAGCGGTTCGTCCTAAACTTGCGGCACAACAACGGCTCCCTGCTTGGGCAAATCGGGAATGCCGATCAGACGCCTCTTTACTTCGACATGCCTGGCATCACAACCGTCGAGAAGAAGGGGGCAAAGCAAGTTCGCGTGCTGACATCGGGCCACGGTATAACTAGAGTGACGGCAATGCTCCGTTGCACGTCAGATAGGCACAAGCTTCCCCCGTACCTCATATTTAAACAGAAGACGCTCCCAAAAAGAGTCTTTTTCCCGGGTGGTGTGATCGTGTGGGCAAACGAGAAAAATGGGTGCGCGTTGCAATCGATGTCTTACTTTTTTTTTTCGTCGTGGAAACCGGGTGCGCGTTACAATCGAGGGCACGGTAAATCGAGTAAATACGGTGTGTATATATATATATATATATATATATATATATATATATATATATATATATATATATATATATATATATATATATATTATAAGGGTGTTTATTGACTAAAACCAACTGCCTGGTTCAAGGGGCGTCAGTCACTGTCACGAGCCCGGCTCTTCGTCGTAGTCGTCTTCTAGGTGCTCCGACTAGATACTGTCTCTCTCCCTCTTCCCCACTACATTTCCCCAGTGGTGAAGAGGAGCCATCCTGGCGACTCACGGCGAAGCAAGCACAAGGGGATCATAGTAAGGTTTTAAGCGGCTGATGTGGACTGTCTCACGACCATGGCATCGTCTGTCATCGGCAGCTGTCACTGGTTCAACGACGTAGTTGACCGGTGATGTGCATTAAACGATGCGGTACGGACCATTGTACTTGGATGCAAACTTTCGGGAGAGGCCGGGGGACTGAAATGGAACCGAAAGCAACACAAATGAGCCTACGAGGAAGCTGTGAGCAGGCTCGTCTTGGTCAAGTCGTTCTTTTTGGAGACCTTGTGCGACGGATGTAAATGAATGCGCTTATTGGCGGCACTTTTTGGCACACTTAACAAGTTCGGAGGCTGGGCGGTATTCTGAAGCATCTGGGCGGTAACTAAGTATCGTGTCAAGCGTAGAAGAGTGCTCACGTCCGTACAGTAGAAAAAAAGGGGAAAACGCAGTAGTTGCTTGCGTGGCCGTATTATACGCATACGTCACGAAAGGGAGCACCAGGTTCCAATTAGAATGGTCGGAGGATGTGTACATAGAGAGCATCTCACTGAGTGTGCAGTTCAAGCGCTCCGTCAAACTTTTTGACTGTGGGTGATAGCTTGTAGTGGTGCGATGAATAATATTGCACTCACTGAGAACCTCCTGGACGACTTGCGATAGAAATGCACGCCCACGGTCGCTGAGCAGCTCACGTGGCCCGCCATGGCGAAAAACAAAGCTACACAAGATGAACAAGGCGACATCACGAGCAGCAACGGCTGGCAAAGCGGCGGTTTCAGCGTAACGAGTGAGGTGGTCAACGGCCACAATAATCCAGCGATTTCCAGCAGGAGTACAAGGTAGTGGGCCATAGAGGTCGATGCCGATTCTATCAACTGGCAGAGCTGAACACGGCAATGGTTGTAATTCGCCACAGGCATGAGAAGTTGTTTTTCGTCACTGACACTCAGTGCACGAGTGTATGTACTTGCGAACGTACGAGTACATTCCATGCCAGAAAAATCGCTGGCGAAGCCGGTCGTATGTTTTCAAAACGCCAGTGTGCGCGTTTTGAGGGTCTGCGTGGAAGTATGCGCACATGTTGGAGCGCAAATGGCGAGGTATAACAAGAAGCCATTTCCTACCATCCGGCTGATAGTTGCAATGGTACAACATGGCATCCCGTATCGCATAATGGGGAATTTGCCGACGTAGTGCACGAAGTAAACGCTGGCATGGTGTCACCGAAGACGAGAAGAGAACGTCGATGAGCGAGGCTATCCAAGGGTTCTTGCGTTGTTCCGAAGGCATGTCAACGGTATCGATGCTGTCGATAGTAGCTTCGGCAAAGGAAACAGGTGCAACGGCTGAAGGAAGGGGCGAACGAGAAAGAGCATCTGCGTCGGTATGCTTGCGGCCTGAGCTGTAAATGACGTGAATATCAAATTTCTGTAAACGTAGCGGCCAACATCCAAGCCGGCCCGAAGGATCCTTCAATTAAGCGAACCAACAAAGTGAATGATTATCTGTAACTACACAAAATGGGCGTCCATATAATTAAGGACGAAATTTTTGTAATGCGCAAACAATGGCCAAACATTCCTTTTCGGAAACCAAGTATTTGTGCTTTGCCTTAGTTAGGGTGCGACTGGCATACGCAACTACATACTCCAAAAGCCAGGCTTGTGTTGAGCAAAGACAGCACCAAGTCCTATGCCACTGGCGTCCGTGTGCACCTCGGTTGGAGCAGTAGGGCCGAAGTGGCGTAAAATAGGTGGTGAAGTAAGGAGATGGCGTAATGTTGCAAAAGCATCATCGCGTGCTGGCGACCAATCAGAGAGGTGTCCATCGCCAGTGATCAGCTGTGTCAGTGGTGCGATTATTGAAGCAAAGTTATTCACAAAGCGGCGAAAGTACGAGCACAGTCCGACGAAGCTGCAAAGCGCTTTCACGGTCGTAAGCTTCGGAAACTCAGCGACAGCATGAAGCCTTTCTGGGTCTGGGAGGACGCCATGTTTTGAGACAACGTTGGCCAAGTATTGTGAGCTTCCGAGCTCCAAAGTGGCACTTTTTGATGTTTAGTTGAAGGCCTGCGCTCGTGAGGCAGCTCAAGACTTCGTTGAGACTTTAGAGGTGGCTGTCAAAATGAGGGGAGAAAACAACGACATTATCCAAGTAGCATAGGCATGTCTTGCATTTAGGCCCACGCAAGATGCTATCCATCATCCTTTCGAATGTGGCTGGCGCATTACAAAGGCCGAAGGGCATTACATTAAATTCGTATAGCCCATCAGGCGTCACTAAATTCGTAAAGCCCATCAGCCTGCATGGTTGCATAATTTCGGGTGCCTGCAGAGTGCAATTTCCTGTGCAACCTTGGTTTGGCACCTGCATGCCTCCACTCAATTTTTTAGTAGGAAAAAAGCCCACATCATTCACAATTTTGTGGCCTTGGCGAAGTAGCCGTACAATGATCCATGCAAATACAATCCTAATGTGGTTCAGTTGGTACATATACCGTAAAAGCTCGTTAATTTGACACCCGTTAATTCGGAAATTCGGATAATTCGGGCGGCTCTATTGGTCCCGACCAAAGTGCATGTTAATCTATGGGACCAAACTTTCGTTATTTCGTCGGAATTCGGCTCCGCGCCGCTTAATTCGGACAAATGCTGACAGCTGCTGCTACACAAAAGTGTGATAAAGCAGCACTGGCACCAATGGAGTGAAACCGAAACCTGAGTGACATCGCCATCATCATCAACTAGTGGGGGTGATCGCAGCGTCACCGAACGTCGGTGTCTTCTTTCTTCTCCACTCAGCGCCTCCGACGCCATTTTCCCTTGTGTTGTCGTGTCGGAACCATCTCTTCTTGCGGAGTTCTCTTTTTCTTCCATTGTGACCGTATTTGCATGCCACCACCATCGTGCGCTACAGTGATGGCAACGCCGAAAAAGCGGCAGAACTACGACGTGAAGAACTTGGCGACTAAAGTGGAAATTTTGGAAGCACTGAAGAACGGCGAATCACGGCAGCAGGTTATGACCAAGTACACCGTGAAGCGGAGCACATTGGCAACGTACGTGAAAAATGAACAACAGATTCGACAAGCCTTCGAAAGCGAGAAGTTTCATGCCTCTAGAAAGCGGTTGCGAACCGCAGCTCATCCCCAGCTCGAAGAAGCCTTGCTCCAGTGGATTACTGACTGTCGCAACGCGCATCTGCCTTTGAGCGGACCTCTCATCATGGCGCAAGGTGAGAAGTACGCTGCAATGATGAACATTAAATTGTTCAAAGCGTCAGAAGGGTGGTTTGCGAGGTTTCAAGACAGACACGAACTTGTCTTCAGGAGTGTGTGCGGAGAAAAGGCCAGTGTTGACGAAAGTGTGACCACCGAGTGGAGAAATGTGAAGCTGCTGGAGCACATCGCCGCATATGAAACACGTGACGTGTTCAATGCAGATGAAACTGCTCTATTTTTCAGAGCTCTGCCCGACAAGACGGTGACTTTCAAAGGGGACGCGTGCATTGGTGACAAGAAGTGTAAGCAAAGGATAACTGTGCTTCTTGCCGCCAATTTGACTGGCACGGAGCGCTTGCCACTGCCACTACTCGTTGCCGGGAAGGCGCTTAAGGCACGTTGTTTTAAAAACGTCAAAAGCCTTCCTGTCGAGTACACAGCGAACAGGAAGGCATGGATGACATTGGACATTTTTCGCGGCTGGCTGTAGCAGTTGAATCGACACTTCACGTCGAAGGACCGCAAGATAATTATGGTTGTTGACAACTGCAGTGCCCATAACTGTACAGTCAAACTGAAGAGCATCAAAGTAGTTTTTTTGCCGCCCAACACTACGTCTGCTCTTCAGCCGATGGACCAGGGTATCATTCACTACGTGAAGTCGAAGTACCGCAAGCACCTGCTAGAGCGAATGATCCTATGCTCAGAAGCTGGAAAGTTGTATCAAGTGGACTTACTCGGCGCAGTGCACATCATCGCCCACGTGTGGAAAAACACTCCGCAGCAAGTCATCCCCAACTGTTTTCGGCACAGCGGTTTTGTGAGGCCCGAGCATGCAGCAGTAGCTGACGATGGCATCGAGGAGGTGTCAGCCGAGTCCACCGACGATGACTACCCGACTTTCGATGCTGTCCTTCCCACAGATGTGACCTTTCAGGACTACATCGCGATTGATCATGGTGTCGCCACGAGTGGTCTCCTGACCGATCAAGAGATTATTAATGAAGTCACGGGCGCCCATGAAGACCACGATAACGAAGAAGAATCATGCGAGGAGATACAGCCGCGACCTTATCGCACCTCACGGGAAGTCTCGGAGGCGCTGTTAATATTAGAGGACGCTTGCCTGAACACTCCCGACAGCTTGCGTGCTGTTGGCCATTTAGAACAGTTAAGAAAAATTGTGATGTCAGCCGGAATCTGCGTGAAAACACAGATGACAATTACAAAATACTTCAACAAATAAAGGTATACTTCTGCAGCTTGATTTTAAATGTTGTTTTCCCTGTTAATTCGTTAATTCGACATTCGGTTAATTCGGACAGTTTTTCCGGTCCCGTGAAATCCGAATTAACGAGCTTTTACTGTATAGGCAAAAAAAACAGCACCTTTAAATAGGACAATAGGACATCACACACAAATGCTGAATAGCAATCACAAAGTTTATATTTAGTGAAAGGCTACATATATGCAGTCACCACCAAGTAAACCACATATACCAAGACACTGTTTGTGCCTAGTAGTGAAGATGTACCGCTTCTTTCTTGAGCATTACTTACTGCATTCACTGATGTAAGGTCTACACCTGTAAATAGCAAATTCTTCAAATAACTTGCACAGTTTTTATTCCTGAGAACTGTCGATGTCTTTGTTCAAGAAAAAGCTGCACTGCCTTAGAACTTACTGACATACCTGTACTGCTCTAACGATTGCACGTCACGACTGTGCGGTGCGCACACACAAGTAGTCGCGAATCAACATCTCTGCGATGCAAATGGTGTTTACACCTGCAAGAGTGAGTCCAACAGTGTTCTTACCTGCACAACACTAAGGTATCCCGACAGCTGCTCCTCATGGGTGCAATCTGGCACGACAGCCAGTTTGCAACAGAAGTGCCCAAAGAGAGGTAGTTGATGCTGTGGATTCTCCAGGTTCTCAATGGTGAGATCGTAGGTGTGGGCCTTGTCATCAGCATCATTCAGTCGTAGCGTAGCATGAGCTTCTAGCTGAAACTTTGGCCCTCTGCAAGTCAAACAATAAAAAGCAAAATTTCATGACCCATGGCCCCTATGTTCTTTAACTGTTCAAATTCAACTACTGTTACATCCAAACATTTTTCTGTAAAGCTGCTGTATGTGATGTACTTGAACAAGGGTCAGACAATGATATGTATGCAGAATCTATATGAAATTTCATTGCAAAATAGGAAGTTTAGATACCAAAAGCCTACACATAAGATGTGAACGGCAGCCCATATTTTCAAACAATAAAAATGTGTTTGAATGCCATGGTAGGTGGCTAGGATGACAAAAAAAGACAGTTTTGTAGTTTTCTTGCCAAAATATATTGAGTGTCTTCTTTTAGCCAATTTAGATTTCTTTGTTGAAATATGACGAACAAAAGGCAGCTGTCATTCTCACAGATAACTCTACATTCGTGCGGAAATATTTTTCTGCTGTTATACTGAAAAGAAAAATTAAAAAGATTTATAATTCCCTTTTTAATGACCAACCCGATGCCAGTTTATACTGAAATGTTATAGGACATCCTAACTTATGGCATCCTCATTCCCTAAGAATCTGAAATGTTATATGTAATCTAGGATATACATAATCAAATTTCTAGGCCACAGTCAAGGCAATATTGAAACTGAGCATGCCTGGTGTGCAGGAAAGGCAGCTGCTCTGTCACATGTGATGAAAAATCTCCGTAACAATGAAGTGTCCAAAGCTGAATGATGGCAAGTTGCAGCACAATCTACTCAGGGAAAAAGAGATTGATTGATTGATATGTGGGGTTTAACGTCCCAAAACAACCATATGATTATGAGAGACGCCGTAGTGGAGGGCTCTAGAAATTTCGACCACCTGGGGTCCTTTAACGTGCACCCAAATCTGAGCACACAAGCCTACAACATTTCCGCCTCCATTGGAAATGCAGCCGCCCCGGCCGGGATTTGATCCCACGACCTGCGGGTTAGCAGCCGAGTATCTTAGCCGCCAGACCACCACGGCGGCGCCAGGGAAAATGAGAAGTCATATGATATACACAAGTAGGTTGCTTATATGTATCTTGCATGCGACGACTGGTGCATAATTGTTTTTTTTTTTTTTGTATACGTTAACACAAAACACTCTGTCACATTTTAAATTGTGTGCAAAAAAAGCCACAACAATAGCTGCTCCTTAGTTTTATTCTATATGCTACAAAATAAAAGCTCATTTTTTTTTTGTGTTTTCTGTGCAGAGTGCAAGGAAATCGCACGCAGTTCCTCAGAGGTAATTAATGAATGTGTAGTCTGCTGATATGTGCACATTCCTCGTAATCAAAAAGAATTTTGTAAGATGAGCTAATAAATACAATCCACATTTTTGCATTACTTCTACCCTTTCCAACAATGATGGTTGCCTTTAAAAACGTGGACATTATCCAGCACGCACTCATTTCATGCTATCATATTCTATGTTGTCATTACACCTTCACTGATCATATGCAACAAGAATTTTTTTGAGACATATGCTTAGATGAGATTTATTTTATGTGAATGTGCCACAGGTTGATATAGCATCTAAACTGAGTAAAGTAAATACTATAGGAAACATTCTAAAGGAAACATTCTACTATAGGAAATACTATAGGAAACATTCTGCTTTGTAACTGACTAGTTACAAAGCAGAAGTCCAAGATATATCATAAAAAGTTCAGCAATGAAATTTCTTCAGGGCTGTTTTCTCAGTGGAACTGTGATAAATTAAGTTGGAATACAGTTGTACTGTAAAAGATCTGATCAGTGCCCTATCATGTTAAGTTCGTTTGTGTGATGCTAGTTCAAGTAATATATCACTGTATTATGATGGAAGGCAACCAAACTTAAAATACGTAAACCTACTACACTAAAAATGTAAATACAAGTATAAAGAATACATGCTTATAGAAAACACAAAATCACAGCATGCACAGAAAAATTTCTTACATTTCGAAGGAGTTCAGCTCCTCTTTCTGCAAAGGATAAGAGAAGCAATTAGGCTATTAAAAAATTCATAAGCTAAATATGCGCATTAAGGCACCCAGTAAGTAATAACATCAGTCAGTGCACAAGTAGTGGAAGCACATAGCTTTCTCCGCAGTACACACAATCTAGAAGTGCTAACTCACACATTACGTTTGCTGGAGTTGCACGCAAGTTATTTTGCAAGATTTAAAAAAAAAAAGTGTTCTATGCCAGTTAACCAGCCGCACCCTTGCTGCATGTAGGCTAAATCCAGCTAGGCACAACCACAACAGCATACATATACTACCATACATGTTTTAGTGGAAGCGGTGAATTGAACACTAAATGTGACTTTCTGATTGAGAATAAATTACCCTACACCTACTCATATGCATCTATAAATGTACAGCATGCTGCCAGTTAAAACCCAAAGCAAATCATCTGACAGGACACATGCAATCATAGGCTGTGAAGCAAAAAGCCACTTTTACTACAACATTGTTGACAATTCAACCTACAGGTATAAACGCCTCAAAGGGTGCTCTTGAATCCACCCTATATAGTAGATATACAAAGAAAACCAGTGAGACTTCGACCTTTCTTCTAAAAATTTCCAACTGCCCTGTCAACTATGAGATATTCCTTTTGAGGTGGTGCTTACTATAGACAATCATGATTCCATGAGAGAAACCAAACCAACTTGTCTCAGTATCCCCGCAGTCTTTTCATTCTTTCTCTCCCCCCCCCCCCCCCCCCCAGCTACGTTTTCACACTAGCCCTCTCCTCTACTATGTTGGCATTGGTAAAAAGTATCAAGCATACACTTACACGAGCTAAGTTAGACAGTTCCTGCCTAGAAGGAGACAAGCCCACCTGTCGAAATATTGGCTCTACCAACACACCACGTTCAAAGATTTTTCAACTTTTAAGTTTCCGTCTTCCCTTGAGCTTCTGCCTTTGTTAGGGTAACAGCTAAATGCCATATGCAAAGCTTCTGCCACAAAATGTCACGTTACTGCCAACTCTGAATAGCAGTAGGTATGAATACTTTAGCATTAATTTGAATGATCTCCATTAGATGTGTAAGTCTTATAACACCAATGAAACTTAATGCAATATCAACATGCTAGTAATGTTCATCTTGGTGCAGGTGTGTGTGTGCCACGAGCAATTTAAATTTGTTTGAGAGCTTACATAAGTATCTCAACTCGCTTACCACGAAAAAATAGCATGTACAATGCTCACTGGTGAAAGAAACAAAATATCAAAACTTTCAGTTAACGACTGACATGCGCAATCGCTCAAGATCACTTTGGAACGTCGGTACAAATCGGGTTAATAAAGGTAATGTTGGCTCAGATAGAAAATGTTTGAATCGATATTACGTAAATGATATGGACTGAAGGTGGTGAAAACAAAGGCACATGTGTATCAAGTATCTCTAAATTGTAATGTTTCAATTCATGAATATTGTACACCAGACGTACATGTCAATCAGTGGCGCCATGTTTCGCTCACTTGATGGCCATTCTTGTTCCTTTTTGTTAAAGCAATGTTTGAAAACTCTCAACTCTAGGAAAGATACTGATACCTTTTTTCAAAGCCGAATAGTATACGATACAGGCAGGGGCATATGAGCATGTTCTTCTAGAGTAGCGAAAGCAACACCAACTTGGTGGCTTCACAGTAAAGTAGGTAAAATTGTGAAAGGCTCTTAAAGGTCACTTCAAATGCTTGCAGCATGAATAAAGAGTGCTTAAAGGTCAACACATGGTGAAGTCGAAGGTTAATGCAGGATAAGAACTTGAAGCCAACATTAACCAAAGGTACGCCAATGCTTCAAGTGTTGCAATGTTCAAACTTCAGACAGAGACTGAAATGAGCATTGAAACTGCATTTTTCTTAGCACTTATGATTTATGCTGCTGTAGCAACTGTCGGTCAAGTTCTTTGTCTACAAGTATGTCATTTTTGTAATAAAAAACAGTGATAATATAACAGTGATTAATATTGCCTTCCTTTCAAACTCCACTATGGGGCTCGAAGGAAGTAGTGAGCATGCTTAAGAAATTTTGCAGTGCAACTGACCAGTGATGCAGCCAGCTTGCGTCCTATAGCTCGGCTGACTGAATTGGTGATCTTCGTTTTAATTTTTCGTGGTGTGCTCGCCATGCTGAGGTCATCTTGTAGAATATGGCTGTACACTTCCAGCTTGAACTCGAAGCCAGGTGGAATGTTGTTGCTGCAATAGGTGGCAGGGGATCACAGTTTATTACTGCTGAAAATTCAGAAGGTTGAACAGCTGCCGAAGACAACGACAAGAGTGTTTGTGAGCTTGTATTTATACTGTCATGAAAGTAATACAGCATAAAAAAGATATAAAAAAGTATAACTTTCTTTTCACATGAAGTTGACATTCACTGACTTATATACCGTATTTACTCGCACAATCCTCGCACCTTTTTTGCCGGAAAATCGATGCAAAGTTGGGAGGTGCGAGAATTACGCGGGGAAAACTTTCCACGAAAACGTAGAGAGCAAAAAAGAAAACAAAGCAGCCGCAAATCAGGATTCTTACACCAGTAAGTTACAGCAAGCTTTAAGAAGTACTAATTAGAACTTACCTCTACAATAAAAGCAGAGCTTCAACACAAGACAACATTTATTTGAGACACAAAAAGTGGAAGCAAATAGTCGAGAATTAGAATACCACACGCAAAGCTTGTGGGCGTTGCAGGCGTAGCGGTAGCGTTCGTCGCTGAACAGAAGCCCTCAAAAGGTAAGCGTAGGACGTCAGTATTGGGCTGATGGCTATTTCACAGAATCGTCCGCAGCTTCCTTCTGAAGAAATAAAATTTACCATCAATCTCAGTTTTAGGCACACAGCAGACCCAACGCGTCTTGGTGGCTTTCAGCTGCCGTCACCAGCAGCGAACACAAAACTCGTAGGCGCCGAGGGGCCTACCGGCGGCCCTGTTGCTATTGTTTAGTGCATGATCCGTCACTTGCAACTTCAAGCAGCCCTGTAGCTTCAGTATCGCCTCATAACGTGCCAAGATTACCGACACAACAAACAAAACACGCCGCAACGCGCACTGGCCACTTCCGCTTGGATTGGATTGAATCTCCGTGCAATAGTACGCTTGATGCTTAAGAGATGGTGCCCGATGGCGCGCGCTATCATCATCAGTGGCTGGAACGAGCAGACGACTTTATTGGGCAGTTTTCGGGGGTGCGATAATTACTCGAGGAAAAATTGTATTTTTCTTGGGCGATGTAGGGGGTGCGAGAATTATGCGAGTGCAAGGATTACGCGAGTAAATACGGTAGGTACCGAATAATTATAAATTACTATGACTGACCGTTATATCAACTCGTTCACATAAGAATTATGGCCTCAAATAACCTACACAGATGCCTAATAATTATAAATTATGATCGACTGTATAAAGAACTTGTTAATATAGAAAGTATGAACTAAAAATTTTTACCAACAATATTCGTAAAATACATGATTGCATCTCTGCCTGGTTCAAGATTTTTATATGTTAGTATTGACTGCCTTTAGTAAAACTAAAACAAGTATTAAATTGCTCCACAAATGCATGCACGTACACTTGCATACACACAGATAGTTAAGTTGAAGGCCGTAGTGTACTGAAAAAACCAGAACAAAAATTTCAAAGTTCAATTGTTTGAAATCGATCCTGTGGTCTTAGAACACATCACATTCATTTGGAGACCCTTTACGAATAAAGGAGAAACAAAGAGCCAGAGACATATGCTTGGAAATCAACCAGTTCAACTTACAAAACGATTGTGTCATCAAAGGAGACATCAGTCATACTACGGTCCACGTTGCTGACCATAGCAGTGTCGTAGATCTCAGTGCCAATCTTCAGCAGGCAGAAAACAGCAAACCGGCGGTAGTCACCTTTGTTCTTGAAGTGGTCTGTGTCTTTCCAGATCAGCGGCATTCGAATCTCTGCAAAAGAATAGCACCAGCTCTCAGCGATTGAGCTCCTGCTTCGCCTCAGGTGTATTTACCAATACTGGGAACCTTTTCTCATCTGCTATAAAAGCTACTACTATACAACTCAATATTGGGGGTGCACAAATATCAAATCTTCAATTTCAAAGTGAATTTGAATAATCAAAGCTAAGTATGAGTCAAATAGAATATTTTTCTAATATATTCGAGTATGAACTACTGACTTTAAAGAGCCCCTAAACCACCCAGAAGAGGAAATTTAGTTGGCGTGTTGCAGTTGTGCATGAGTCTACAACGAACGCCTAGCTGTGACAATTCTTCGAAACAGTGCCGTGATAGTGCAGTTGCACATGCTTGATGGCAAAAAAAAAAATGCCCTCATGTGTTTCGTTCTTTCCTTCGCTATGCTCCGTTCATCTGCTCGTCTCTCCTCCTGGCTGACTGCTCCTCTTCACTGTGCGAGGAGGAAGAACCACTTGCAGGTAAATACCTGCGAGTGGACAAACAGGTATTGTGAATGATGAGCAGATGACATGTTGATGTCCCGGCAAATGCTGAGGGGACACGGACTGCTGAAAAGATGCCTTTTGCATCATGGCGAATTGAAAAAAACAAAAAGTTAACCACAGTTTAGTGACTCCAGCAGCAATTTAGACTGCATGCAGGACGCTAAGTCAGCAAACCCGGCAAACTAAGTTGTCATGGTAATGTTCGCTGTGGTGGGGTTGGCTTGCAGATTCTGGGCAAAAAAGAAAGCTTTTGAGTTGAACTGAAATATTTTGCACATGCTTGCTGGTTCAAGTTTGTGGAGAACATTAACACTGCATCTCAGGGAGAAGAAAGATGTAAACTTTGTGACGCCTCCAACTCGTGTTGATGCTCCCTTGAAAGTAAGGCCAAGATGGTCTTGTATATGTCAAACATGGGAGAGACACGCCAAATCACCTATAATGGTAGTTAGATGAGTATGACACTCAAGGAGAAGTGCTGCCTTACCTGACACCGCAACACGAGAATGCGAGCAATCCAAAGGGAATCCACCAATTCTGCAAAAAGAAAGAAAACAACTGGCATAAATCCCCTGAAGGAGCACCTAAAGGTGACAAGTTATATGTATATTTATTTTTAGCACGTTTTTTTCAAAACACAAGACAACACCAAGCAAGGTCTCTCACTTGTTCAAGGTTTTGGTATTTTTTATAGATACAATGGTGTCTAAACATAATGCAAAATTTTTGCACGTAGTTTTCTTACATTGTTTTTAGTTTTGCTTTTTTACTATTTCTTATTTTTGATTTCTTCTTTTAGTTTTTTCCCCCACTCTGTTTTATTAGTCATTTTTCCAGTTGCTTTTTTTTTTCTTTTTTTTTTATTACGATAGCAATGCTATTACGGATCGACTGAGCTGCATCGATGCACTCACTTGACATCACTGTGTTCGGCATCTACAGTTTCCTTTACGACAATCTAAAGCGGTGCACAGTGCTCAAAGATTGAACTGCAACATCAGAGACTTAAGTATGCCCCACCGCCGTAGTCTAGTGGCTAAGGTACTCGGCTGCTGACCCGCAGGTCACGGGATCGAATCCCTGCTGCAGCGGCTGCATTTTCAATAGAGGCGAAAATGCTGCAGCCCCATATGCTCATATTTAGGAGCACGTTAAAGAATCCCAGGTGGTTTAAATTTTCAGAGCACTCCACTACGGCGTCTCTCATAATCATATGGTGGCTTTGGGATGTCAAACCCCACACATCAATCAATCGAGACTTAAAAATCTTAAACCTGGCCTTGCACAGATACCCTTGTACATTAATTAGATAGCTATGTATTCATGATACTTTCATTCTGTATATTCTATTTCATTGTTTCACATTTTTCAGTGTTTGTTTACTTGTTGGTAGATTCATTTTACTGTCAGTATATTATCTTTGATACCTGTACACTTTTTACTGTTTGTTTTTACCTTTCCCCTCCTGCCTAGGCCTTCTCAAGACCTACAGTATTCCTAAAAAAACAACAAATAGATAAATAAATAAGTGGTATGCACAATTATTTTACATAGCCACAGCACAAATTTAAGCACTAATGGTAGTAAAAGTGTACGAGCCTTTATTAGAGAGTAAAAGCTCGTTAAGTCAAACTGACACCCTGGTCCCGACATAGCCCCATGTATTTTCATGGGGGCAAACTCCCAATGATTCGAATGCATTGGTATCCACAATTCAAACTGGGAGCCCCTGGTTTTCATCGCTCTTCATAGAAGTTGGCCCTGAGTAATTACAATGTGTTGGAGCACCAAACCAAACTAAGTTTACTAGAGATGAAAACCAATGAATCAGCAGCCTTTCTTCGCAGATAAGAATTCAGGTGCCACGTTAAAGCTCTTGGGCAAGCTTGATTTGATTTGATTGATACGTGAAGTTTAACGTCTCAAAACAACCATATAATTATGATAGATGCCGTAGTAGAGGGCTCCGGAAATTTCGACCACCTGGGGTTCTTTAACCGGCACCCGAATCTGAGCACACGGGCCTACAGCATTTTCACCTCCACCGAAAATGCAGCCGCCGCAGGCTCTTGGTCAAGCTGCAAGCAATGTTTATCGAGTGGCAATGAAAGAGACAGAAAGCCAAAGCAAGTTACTGATCACCCTTATTTTGATTGCATTATCTCTGATGATGATGATGTATAGCATTTAGTGGCACAAGGGCCAAGGTTTGGCCAAAGAGCACCAAAATTGTGGTAATGTTGTTGTATGGCTTTATGATTCATGCAGTGGCTGTAGAGAAGCTTCAAAATCAAAACTGTGAATGCTTCAAAATAACTATAAATTAAATTTATGATGGCTGCTGTAGTGGGGTAAATTGTATGAGCAGGGAATGTCAAATTCTAAAAAATAGCGTCATAACTTCTAATTGATGAAATACGAAGTAGCACACCAGCCTCACAAAGGCCTTCAGTACAAGGTCCAGGAGACATGTGCCAATACAAATAAAAATCGCAACTACTGCCTCTCGAGGGAGGCAGTGTTACGATTACTAGGGCAGATAATGTTGTGCATGCGGACATCACTCGAGAAAGCAGATTTCGCGCTAAATAGTGGTTCTCTACCTAGGAAGAGAGACTAGTGAAGCAGTATGCATTGTTTATATGCTAAAGGGAAGTGTCTCATCCTTTCAACTTCAGGTTCATGACATTCCAACAGGACATGCTGAACAGTAAGCCTTTCGCCACATCTACCACACAGAGGATGCTCCTCACCAGTCAATAAAAAACAGTGCGTATTGTAAGTGTGTCCTATTCTGAGGCAACAGAATAGGACATCCCTTCGCCTTGACTTGGTTAATTATGGCCAATGTCCTAACTGTGGCTTAACTATGTGGAGTTTGTTGATAACTCTGGCATGTAGATAAACGTATTTTAGAGCATAAACAGTGGCATGTCATATGTTTTCACATTGAGGCTCACTACTCCCATCAATGGATGTCATTGCTTGCTTCTAGAGTATCACAGACTGTTCAGTAAAATGTGTTCCATTTTAGAGCTCCATGAACCTAATTTATGCAATAACCAACCACAAACGTTTAGTAGCACCTAGTTAGCAATTACGAGTTCAAAGACTTACCGTCAGTTTATTCTAGCACCCGTGCACTACTTCGAACTCTGCCTAATTTTAACAATTCTGAAGTCCCTTTCGAGTTAAAACTAACAAGCTTTTACTGTATACCACTCTGTGACACGGATTTGCATTTAAATAAAAGACTTGGCAGGTCAATATGACATGATTTTATTCCTCTGGCCCCTAAGAAAAGGGAACTCTTACGGATACTAGCAGCAGCAAAGGGGGATAGCGCTGACTTGAGAAATGAAGCTCACTTCCTGTAGATATGGCAAGGAACAGTTCAGTTTCTCTTAATATGTACCAATTTGAAAAAAATTAATGAAACACTGCATCATGAATTTTTTTTTAGTGTTTTTTCTGTTGCAAATCTTTCCATGCAATATGCATCCCATTAAAATAAGAGTTGCAGCGCAAGCACGAAAGTGCTAAAAGGAAAGCGAACGGAAGGCGAGGAACCTCCTTTAAGCACATCTTTGCTTACGCTGCAACCCTTATTATAATGTAACTTAACCAACTAGCCCAAATAGCCGTTGTTCTTCAATGTGCATCCCAAGTAAGCTCTCGCATTTCCTTATGTACAAAATTTATAAGCTTTCACTATATCTTTTAAATTTAGTTAAAAGACATTAGGAGCATTGAGCATCCAACGCACTATTCTAAAAGGTCGCAGGTTCTCTCCCTGCCCATGGCAAGTTATCTATTCATCCCCTTTTCTTTCATATATTTACAGTACAATAACCTCATGTAACGTACCCTATACTTTCCTTGGCATGACTATTTGTTAGATCTCCTTATTATTGTGTATAACAAAAAAAAAAAAAAACGTCTTTATATTGTACACTTCTTTCCTTCAAAGGAGAGCAAAGCATTCACACAAATGAAGCTCCTTGGTGTTTCAGCACGAGTGCTTTGTCAAAGGCCTGCAGTGGTATCTTCCTCAGCTATAAATACGTTTAAAAAAAACAGGGAGAAACTGTGAAAGAATAGCTTGCAAAGAGAGAACGCGTAGCGTATCTTGCAAACTGGATGCAGTCGCTCACAATGTTAAACGCCATTACGCGTCTCTGAGAAGCGGCGCATGACTGGCACAGTTCCTACAGTATTTACATCCAAGATTTGGACACATAGAAGCATGCTGTTATGAAGCATTTCCTAAAAGAATGAGTTTCCAAGAGTTCCTAGACTGTCAATATGAGCGAAAACTGCTCTCACCTGAAACTATCATACAATATATGTACGCTAACAACCCTATGCTTTAGAAAGGGCACGGGCATAGCAGTACTGCTACCAAGACCTGCGCTAAACGACCTCGACTGCTCTTTGTGCAGATGTATCGGCTGTCTATTACTCCAGACACCTTGCCATGAAGTGCCCTGTGCTGCCTCCAGAATCTCAGTGCTGTCGACTCAGGTCCTCCACGAATCAACGCGCTACACTTCACCAGCCTAGTGCACTGCCTAATCAGGGGGCATTCTGACGCCTACTGTCCGGTGCTCGTGCGCTCCGAAACAATCATCTGATCTGTCCCACCCATCACCAAGACTTTGTTCAAAGAATTACGAGGAACCGCATCTGCGGTGACGCCACACCGCGAGGTTACAAAGCTCAGGGATCCGCTGCTATCTTCATTGGACATGGCGGTACTGCTACAATGACTTGCGCTAAATGACCTCGACTGCTTTTTATGCAGACAAAAAAAAAATTTTTATCCCTGTTCACAACGCGCACTCGCGTAGTACTAGTAGTACTGCCATGCCCTGGCCAGTGTCTTGTGATTGCGTATAATTGTGTTCACGTTACAGTTGTTTCTTCTTGGCAATGTAGAAGAAAACCTTCGTCCTGCGAATACATGATCTGGCGATACACAACATAATGCTGACATTCAGTCAGCTTTAAAACAAGAATTCATGCCATGTGAAGAACCACTCTTCAAGATAGAGCATGATTATCAAAAATTGAAAGCGACTGTTCTTCAATAAAACAAGTTATTACATATATTGGAAACCTTTGCACAAAGACTTAACTAATCACAAACCGTGTCGCAAACCTTGAAGCAAGGATAGATGATTCACAAGACAGATTACACTCGCAAACCTTGAAGCAAGGATAGATGATTCACAAGACAGATTACACTGACATAATGTTGTATTCTCGGCATCTTTGACGCTGAATGTGAGATGTGGGCACAGTGTGAGAAGCTAGTGATAGGTGTCTGTGAAACTAACCTTAGCATCACCATACAACCCCGAGACATTGAGAGAGCACATTGGTTAGGGTGCTTTTGCCAAAATAAAAATCGGCCCATCACAGTATGTCTCAATAACGGCCCATCACAGTATGTCTCAACATTTATAAGGATGAAGAACAGATCCTTTCATGTCCAAGGAAGCTGAAGGATTCAGGAATTAGCATTTCTGAAGACT